GTGTGCAGGAGGCAGCTGATCGATGCTTCTCTCAATGATGTTTCTAACTCTCTATCCCTCTCACTTCCTCTCTATAAAAAAATCAATAAAATATATTTTTAAAAAATAAATAACCCCAAATGGGTGGGAATCCTATCTGTTCAGAGAGCCTGGGACAGTCGCCCTGCTGTGCTTTAATTTTGCAAGAGTACAGGTGGGTGGGTGGATGGAGAGAGAGAGAGAGTGTGTGTGTGTGTGTGCGAGAGAGAGAGGGAGAGAGACGGTCCTATTTTTCTTTTTAAAGGATTTATTTTTATTTTTTATTGATTTCAGAGAGGAAGGGAGAGGGAGAGAGAGAAACATCAGTGATGAGAGAGAATCATGGATCAGCTGCCTCTTGCATGCACCCCACTGGGGATCAAGCCCCCAACCCAGGCATGTGCCCTAACGGGGAATCGAACTGTGACCTCCTGCCTGGTTCATAGGCTGACACTCAACCACTGAGCCACGCCGGCCACGCCGGCCGCGCCCATAGTTGGTCCTTCGATGTCACACTTTGTTCCCATGGAGGAGCCGGTTGGTGGAATGTGTAGACCGTGATGCAGAGCGGGACAGAGGAGGGCTGGGCTGGAGGAGGGGGTCAGCACCATTCATTGTCCCCAAAAACACACACACCAAATTGGGGGGAAATGAGAACAAAACACAGACTCTGAACTGAGAGAGGGGTTGGGGGGGGCATCGCTCCCTTCCCTGGGACCTCACTCGGGAGCCTGGGGCCCCGTCCAGCCCTAGCCCCTCACAGGGACAGGAGGCTGCAAGGGTCAAAGCCCAGCTCGGAGCCCCTGAGTGCTCCCCCTACCCCCCAGGCTGAGGCGGAGGGAGAGCGGCAGCCACCACGCCCTGGTCCCCGCGTCACTGCCCACTCTGGGCATCAGAGTCCTCATGAGCCATGGACCTCAAATGTCCCAGAGAAAAGGGGTACGGGGAGCCTTGGGGTGTCCACCTGAGCAAAGGGAGGATTGGGGATCTGTTGGCTTTACAAAAACAGTAATTTTTTTTTTTAATTTAAGTTGAGCCCAGCCAGCGTGGCTCAGTTGGTTGAGTGTTGACCCAGGAACCAGGAAGTCACGGTTCAATTCCTGGTCAGGGCACATGCCCGGGTTGCAGGCTGGGTCCCCAGTAGGGGGCGTGCAGGAGGCAGCCGATCCATGATTCTCTCTCATCATTGATGTTTCTCTCTCTTCCTCTCTGAAATCAATAAAAATATATATTTTTTTTTATTTAAGTTGAGAAGTATAAAAACAATAGGGAACATGATCCACTTAGTAAATACAGCCGTGAGGGGGGTGGGGGGAAGGGCCAGGCAGGCACAGAGCTGTGGCCGGCTCTAGCGAGGAGGACGGTAACAGTAGACGCCATACTTGCGGCTCTGCGGGTCTGGGAAGCCGAAGCTTCGGACCCCGGGCTCCAGGGGCCCGCAGGTGGGACGTGGGTGAGCCACGGGGTAGCGGGCGCTGCCATCTGCCAGCCAGCCGGCATCGCAGCGGTCCAGGCCGCGGAACTTCCAGGCGGCAAAGAGCTGGCCCACCTTGGCGATCTGGGCGCCGTCTTCCCGGCAGGCCGCCTTGGCCTCTGAGAGTGTCAGCTTCTCGGGGTGCTCCAGGTAGTACACCCGCCCTGTGGGAAAGTGGGGTGTGAGGGCCGGGCAGCGGAGGAGACAGCCGGACCTGCAGCTCCGTCCACCAGTCCAGACATCACTACCCAGACCCCAGAGATCTGTCTACTCTCTAAGCCCAGGGAGCCCCATGGGCTCTGACCTCTCTGTGCCTCAGTTTACTGATCTGTAAAATGGGGGTAATGTCCTAGCCGGTTGCTCAGTGGTTAGAGTGTCGGCCTGCACACTGAAGGGTCCTGGATTCGGCTCCAGTCAAGAGCTTGTACCTCGGTTGCTGTGGGCACCTACTTAGACATTTTGGGGGGCACCTGCCCAGTCCTCACTCTCTCAGAGCTTCACCCCACCTGCTATGGGCTGGGGTCCCTCCTGTCATATCTATACTCCCCCAACGCTCCCCTAACTGCACCCTGGGTGGGCACCCCCCCTGGGCTGGACTAGTCAGAGTCTCCCGCTGGCTCAGTTGTTTAGTGAGCACCTACTATGTGCCAGGCACTTTTCTAGATGCCTGGGGTATAGCGCTGAGTCAGCTTCTGTCTTCCCATGAAACAAACACTCTGTTTGTGATGCCCAGAGCCTAGTCCAGGCCCCAGCCCATTGTGGGCACTCAGGCAATGCCTGATGAATAAATAAACAAATGATTGGTATGAACAGCTGCGTCAAAGCCCTCAAACTCTCATCATCGATGTTTCCATCTCTCTTTCCCTCTCCCTTTCTCTCTGAAATCAATAACAATACATTTTTTAATATATTTTTATTGATATAGAGGAAGGGAGAGGGAGAGAGAGATAGAAACATCAATGATGGCCCTAGCTGGTTTGGCTCAGTGGATAGAGCGTTGGACTGTGGACCAAAGAATCCCAGGTTTGATTCCAGTCAAGGGCACATACCTTGGTTGCAGGCTCCTTCCCGGCCGGGCCCTGGTCAGGGCACATGCAGGAGGCAACCAATCAATGTGTTTCTGTCTTTCCCTCTCTCTTCCACTCTCTAAAAATCAATGGAAAAATATCCTCAGGTGAGGATTAAATAAATAAATAAATAGAATCTTTATTAAAAGAAAGAAAAAAACATCAATGATGAGAGAGAATCATTGATCAGCTGCCCCCTGCACAACCCCCACTGGGGATCGAGCCTGCAACCTGGGCATGTGCCCTTGACTGGAATCGAACCCGGGACCCTTCAGTCCGCAGGCCAATGCTCTATACACTGAGCCAAAGCAGCTAAGGCAATAAAAAAACATTTAAAAAAAAAAAAAAAGATACAGTACTGCCCTAGCCGGTTTCAGTCGAGGGCACATGCCTGGGTTGCAGGCTCGGTCCCCAGTGGGGAGCATGCAGGAGGCAGCCGATCAATGATTCCCTCTCATCATTGATGTTTCTATCTCTCTCTTCCTCTCCCTTCCTCTCTGAAATCAATAAAGAAATATTTTCTTGCGGGGCTGGTAGGGAAACACCACACCTGGGAGGGAGGGAGGAGGGCTTGAAGGGGTGGGCCAGACCCTGCTGGCGCTGGCGAGAGACCCAGTCCCCTGCCCCCACACCTCCATGGGGACAGATGCCCCACCCCCCGGAGGCAGCTGATCGATGCTTCTCTCTCATCGATGTTTCTAACTCTCTATCCCTCTCCCTTCCTCTCTGTAAAAAAATCAATAAAATATCTTTTTTAAAAAAATAAATAAAAAGATACAGTACTTGCGATTACAATTAGGACTCGTCTAGAAAATCCCGTCTACACACACCCCCTTTCTCAAGATCCTTCCTGGAATCACATCTACAAAGTTCATGTTGCCGTATGAGGCCACACTCAGGGGTTAGGACCTGGATGTTTGGGGGAGCCATTCCTTAGCCTATACACCCCTTTTCTCCGGAGTTTATGTTGCTGCCCAAGCACTACTTGAATGAGATTCAAGGAAATTTCTGAATCATCACAAACTTAGGGACTTAAGATGTTTACTTTGCTCGTGATCCCACAGGTGGGCAGTTTGGCCTGGATCACTCACGTGCCTGCAAAGCCACAGTGGCTACGGGGAGGGGTGCAGCACTGTGGCCATTCTCGCCAGGCGGAGGTGCCCCAGGGCGGGCAGAGGGGCCCCCCGCAGCGCCCAGGTGCTCCCCGCCACCCACAGGCTGTGCAGGGCCA